TGATTTGATACCTGATCTCTCTGATATACAACGTTTTCCAGATCATTATTAATTCTTATCGTTAGCTTTTTTTCATAACAGTGTAGAATTGCTATGAAATGAAAAATTAATTTGCTTCAAAATAAATTGTAAAGTTAGAAGTTAATAATTTCTTGTTTGACATGAAATTGAAGTTAAAATTGCGAGAATCGAAGATACGTAGTATGCTCGGCGAGTGGCTCGCGGGCAGAGATTGTCTTTCGACGATTCAGTGTGCTAAGTGAATTTTCAGACGAAAAGCCGGAGATATGTCCCGTAGCAAGTTCCACGGGCCGTGGATCATTCAATTTGTACCTAGCCGCGGCGCGGAGTTTGATAATATGTAGATTAGTTCGGATGTTTCAGGGAATTTCGAGGCATGCCGTTCGTGAAACGCATCGAGATCGAAACGTTTAATTCCTCGTTGGATTACAATTTTGCGCGGATCGGCCGCAAGGGTTTCACTCGAATCGTCGGCATTCTATTCAATATTAACGATACAACGTCAAAGTTAAACCTATAATGTTCTTAGCATATGTATCGATGTCAAAGCGATCCCGCGGAATTCCGCTGCCTTAGAAACGTTAACATTCTATTGTGTACTTATGCTTAATAACGTGTGCACAGGATAATGCGAAGTGTAACTCGTTTAGAGGATTCCACACTTCCTTGGCATGGAAGCTCTTCGTAATACGCGCTGAACCCGACGTTTCTAGATTACAGACAATTATAATACCTCAAAGTACTTTCACATGTAGGTACGTACACCATTCTCTGTGAACCCGGGATTTGTTCACCTAATCGCATTTGGAGAGTTTATCGACATAAAATATACTTTAAAATGAAAAGATACGCTACCGTCAAAAAGTTGGGAAACAAAGAGATTTAAATAAATAATTCAACTGCATTGCATAATATAAAATATATATTTCACTTATATAGTAATATAGAAGAGAACAGTATTAGAATTAAGCAAAAGAATACAATGTAGAATCACTTATCTCGACTTTTAAATTATTTTTTAAAACAATTCAAATGTTTCCAAACTTGTTAGCGGTAGTGTACCTACATAATCTCATGTAAAAATAACGATACTATATTTCTAAAAATTTATCTATGTCATATTTTAAAGTTGATTATTTTAAAGTGATTAATGTCATTCTTCCCCAAGAGCTGATGTTCGCACAAAGATGGCTCATACATCCAGCAACCTTCGTTCTCCTCTACAAGTTTATGCAAATCAAAATTCTTGCCCGGTTAAACGGTTCTTACCGAGCCGTTTCGCGAAGGAAAAAGGGAGAAATTAGAGCAAAAAATCGCTTGAAGTAGAAGAGGGCGAAGCTGGTCCGTGTTCACGGGATCACGCACGCGATTATTCGCGAGAAGCCGTCGCGTCGTCGGCCGATCAAGAGCGTTCGTAAGTACGGCAATCATGGCCTGGTATAATTTTGTGCAAATAGTAATATCGTGCAGACCAACTGGCTACCAAAGCTTGCTGCTATTGTTACTGCTGCTGCTGCTGCTGTTGCTGTTGTCGGTTTCGTGGTTGGCACGTTTCCTTTTGCCCGAACTGGCCTCGCGTGTCAGCCTATCGTTTCCATTATGCCCACCTTCGCCAGTGTAGTCAGATAAAACCAATTATAATCTATCCACCCTAGCCGATACGAAGCCAAAGGTTGTCAGCAGTCGCGAACCGTGTGCTGCCTCTACGGACGATTTTACTTGCAAACCAGCCATTTCACCCTCGTAAATATCTGACCGTATTGGAAGGGGTTGGATCGGTTTCGTGGCCCAACCGATCATCCTTCTTTCAGGAATTTCAGAAATCACTTTGATTTTCAACGAAATCGATGGAATATCGCGTGCTCTGCTTCTTTTATCCTTTTTTAAGGATCGACATAAGCAATCGTGTTGATTATCTATTTATGTATTTATTAACATCTTGAAGAATGGAGCCTGGATCAATCGTGACCCAAATTTACAGAATATACATAAGAATATATAATTTTCAAAGGAACAGTGTACAATTTAGAAAATGATAATAATATGAAACATCAAATTGAATATAAATTGGGACTCTCCCCATGGTCCGCCATTGGAGAATTAAACTGTAGTTAAACTCTGGCAAAGTTTATACGGAAACCTTTGTGACATCCTGTATAAAAGTTCGGTGAAAAACACGAAAAAGTTACGTTAAGCTCTTCAATTCATCACAAACATTTACTACCTTCTTTCTCTGCTATCCCTAGATTTACTAGATTTACGAATGAACGAAACTTAAAGATTAATTTAGTTGGATACAGAGTCGTCGTTGGACCAAAAACTTCTCAAGGTTCCGCAGGAAGGAGAAGAAGGAAAAAGGAGTCGGGCAAGCGGTGAAGTATGAGCCCTGGTGTCGCAATGTTGAGTGAATTATCAGTTACGAGTAGACAGAGGGCAGGAATGGCAGGGAAAGGTTAAGCTGTCGCTTGGTGGACGAGGCTAATGAAAGCTTAGCCCTGTAATGCAATCTGACGGAGAGCAAGCTTGCCGTCTGACGTGACAGGTCAGTTCAGACTGGTCCGAGTTGGCCGGCAAGACAAGTGGATTAACCGGGGCTCCGAGGATGGCGGCCATATAACAGACGATCTTTGACTTCCCTTTTGCTTTTGTTGCCCTTCTTCGTTGTTGAGTGTCGACCTATCGTACCGTATACTCGCCGCTGTCGATGTCCACCACCTTTATCATCCGTTCTTGTCCGTCTACCACGTAACTCCGTGCGACAGTTATTACTTTGAACAATTTGTCCGTCTCCCCTATTTCTAGAAAAAAATCACTGCGACAGCAGATGTAATTTACTTGGAAATTTTTATAAATTTTTATAAGACGGTTATAGGCGATACTTCTTGCAAATTAATATTGAAAAATAGCGAAATTTGAAGGCTATCGTTATTGATATCAACATTCGGTGTCATTGACGTTTACGTGAAAGAATGTCGAGTGTTTCCATTGCCGTCGCGACGCAGAACGGCGCCAGTTGGTTTTTCGTCGTTCGAACACGCATTATAATTTCAGCCATCGCTGATAACGAGTTTCCTCGTGACGACACAAACCATGCGTAGCCCCACACTCGCGCGATACCAGCTCTCAACCATACGGTTACTTAATTCCCGCCGACACGGCACGTCGTTTTTCTCAGAAGCGTTTACACGCCGCGATCAATGTACCATGGCAGAGTACAGTCATGAATTCCGTGTTCAAAAGTCGTGTTTCTTCGTACGACAGCTTGCACTATACTACTCATGTGCGTTAAGTGTACGGAGGGCTTCGTTTTTTTCAAATCGTATGCGGTTGCACATTGTGAACAGATATATTGATCTCATACAATTCCTGTGAAACTGATATGAAATGATAGAATTTCATGCGTAAATTTAATTTAATTAAAAGAGAACACAATATAATAATGGAGATGTATTTAATTATCAACATTGCGATATTATTTTTTTCTTTCATAAAAATAATAATTTCAGATCTCGACTTTATCAAATCGTTGTCAATTTTAATCGGTATATCCAAACAAAATGTATATGTATACATATAAATATTTTTGTTTTCACTAACAACTCTTCCATTTTGTTTTTTCACTAACGGTCAAACAATGGAACTTTACAGACAGCCCGCGATTCTCTCGCATTCTCCGTTTCACAGAATGAGCAAATATTTACTGTGTACAAAACAGAAATAACTACGTATGGAAATCTGCTAGTGATTGGAGTGACTTGATCAACACAAAACTTTATCGTTTACCTTCTCGATCAATTTAGTTAGCGATGCGTGCCATTCTACGCGCATTATAAAACGATACATACTATTAAATGACTGATAAAACGACTAAACAATCATTTTTATCAAACCCTGTGCTTTAAACTGATTTGTCATAACTGCTATGTTTCAATAATTTTATGTTATCAAATCAAACCAGACTTTCTGCGTTTTGGAATCTATCATTTGATATATAACAAGCTAATGAATATCGATTCCCTATGTATAATTGACGTTCATCGTTGCAGTGAAATGTTTCTGATAACGATGTTTATCAATGATTAGCGTCAATATTATTTGATAATCCATTGTGCATTGATTGCCTATTAATTTATTGGTGGTATTGTGTACAATGCTAGAAATTAGTGAATATAACATTTTGTTGGTGCGAATTTATAACAAATAAATTATTGATCTCTATTGTAACATTATGAGTAAATAGTAGCGTTTGAAATATCAGAAACCATCGAAATTTTAATAGCTTGTAATGGACTGGTTCGATGTTAACAGTTTAATCCTTCCTATTATCTTCAGTTCTTTCACGATATCCGGTAAGTCAGAGATAAAATGGAAAATCCAACGACAAGGAAAACAAAGAAGAAAAATTTTCTGCTTTGATAAACGTTTTACGCGATAGCTTCAAGTGACACCGTCTTTCGTCGAACGGGTTAACTCGATTTAAAGAAACAATTGATTTAACACCGTTTTCCTTGGCAATCTTCAATTCTCATCAGTTCAACCTGGCGACCTACTTTTACAAAGTTCAAATGAACAGCCACGCTTGCGTTTCACGTTCAAAGAGAGCAACTCCCATTTCAATTTCAACAATTTCCTTCAAATTGATTTTCTTTTTTTCAACTGCACGTTGAAAGCTCGTTTCATATGCAATTTCGGGGTTTTCGAATTCAACGGACCGGTATTCGTACTCGTATTTTCATTGCGTATTTTCCGGTCGATTCATTCATCAGAATTATAACTTTATTTTCTATCATTTCCACGTGGAAAAATGTTTCTACGTTAGAAATAAAACATACCTGAGTCTGATAAAAAAAGATTCCTCTTGGATGTTCTCTTCGTTACACATCGAAAAGGGATATTCGATTACGACCATTCGTCATAATAATCATCTGTCTTAATGTAAACGTGTCATTTGATATTTCTTAAGTTTCTCGATGTTTCAGGTTTCCCATTTATCAACCCACACCTAGGAGACGAGTAGTTACATCTTCATTTTCTTCTACAGGGACGTGAGTATACGCACACTTGACACATTTCGTTATTTTTAATGAGAACTTACCTTTTGATTGTAAGCTATTTTTCATTCGAATGCTCATTCAACAGCTTCACTGCTTTTCATTATACCCCTGATTATGATATTGTTTTTGTCGCAATTTGGATCAAAAAAGGGCTACCTTTTCATCAGAGGAATTTCTCTGCTTCATATGAAACAAACTTGTGGAAACGAATTTCCTTTGTATGTAACATCAAACTTTTCTAAAAATATCCGTGAAACCTTTCATAGAAATTATTTGCAAATTTCTGTGTTAATTGGTTTCTGGAATATTGTGTGGTATCAGGTGAAGTTATAATTTTGAATACTATCCTTTACAGTTCTTCTCGGGAAACGCATCGGAATATCCGTGCATATTCAACCGGTTGATTTGTTTCACAACCCTCCGGGTAATCGAAAAAGGCGTCTCCCAATCTTTGCGACTCTCGTAGAGCTTTGTACTCGCGTGTTTCTCTTTTGTTGGCTAGTTTCGTAGCCGTTTGAAAACTCTGCAACCGAGTGGCCATTTTGCAGGCTGATTCGCGAGGGTTCGTGAATTTACGAGGACGAGTACAGGCGCGTATGCGAATAGTACACAATACGAGCCGGAGGATTCCTAACGAATTCTTCGTACAGGGGTTCCATACTACCCCTCCGATGAAATTCTCCTCTCATTCTTCGCTATTGATTTTCTCGTCGACGATTTAATTGAACTCTCTCCTCCACCTCCCCTCTAATTAGGAAATTAAATTTCGAAATAATGTTGCTTGCGCGAAAACATTCGTTTCGTTCGGTTCAAGATTTTTCTACCCTCATTGCCTCCATGCATCGCTTTTTTCTCGTTTTTAATTAATCGTTCGGTTTGAACTAATTAGAAAAGTTTCGCTATCGATGGTCGTTAATTTATTATAAAAGGTTGATTAATAATAGATATTTTTTATTACTGCAAATGGTAGAGAAATAATGGTCTCTTATAGGAATATTTAAATGCAGAATATCCAAAATACAGTTTCCCTTGGTTTATGCGAAGTTTTAGTTGAAAAAAAAGAAATAGGAGAGTTCGATCTCCATCGTAGTAAATCGAGATGAAAAGTGGAGGGTAAAGGTAGTGGTCCAAGTCGAAACGTTTCGAGACGGTTCCTTTTTTTCCTTTTTCAGCCAGTTTCCCTCTTTTTGCTCGTCTTTCTATCGGCGATCTCGTCGCTGCAAGGGGTGGAATATCTTCGATAATCGACACAAAGCCGACCGATCAGCTTCTACTACGGTTCACCGACGCTTGAAAGGGAAAACTGGGGCATCGTCTGAAAGCCTGCTGACCATTTTCCGCTTTGTTCGATCAGATGTACTTCTCTGGCGCGCGTTTACCTCCAGTTCCGCGAACAATATGCAAATTGGGCTGTTACGCGCTTTGATGAGAATGCAGAACGAGTTCAGCTGCAGCTTAATCAATCGACGATTCGCGGAGCCCCGTGTGCACGTTTCTTTGAAACGTGCTACAGACCGAATGAAAATTAATCGTAACGCTCCTATCGTGCATTCGTCTAATGAGCAAAAAATTAAAATAACGAATCGAATTTGTCACGCTAGATTAATCAAATAATTTTCAAAAAAGCAAAATGGTATTTGGATCAGCTAAATATTCTTTCTAGATCGATAACGAAATATTTTTCAAATATAAAATTTGAAATAGGAAAAGCAAAAAGTAATTTATTAAAATTGTGCTATCATATGATAAAGATCTGTAGATACTATTTCAATTCCTATCGATGTTTGAATTTCTTCCCGTTTCTTTATCTTTTTTCCCTCTAAAATAAATGTACCCCCTGTGTTGGTCGATTATCATTTTATGCGTATAAGATAGTCGACGTTTTTCACTCTAAACCCTCTGGAAAGCTTTCTCGCGACGGACAGTGTTCTTTGCCGATATTACCTAGCGTGTCTTTTACCCTGTACCTTTTCCATGAGAAAATATCGACACATCTGTCGAATAAGTATCTGGCACATCTGTTCTAACGTCTCTATTTATTGAAACGTATTAACCGAAGAATTGTCTTGGAATTTTTACTCGAACCGTCTTATATTATTCAAATTCGTTTGATTATGCTGCAGCAAGTCTCACATTTCCCAGGATGAAAATGAATTTCAGGAATACCTATTTAAGAACATTCGTAAACCGATTAAGTAGGTATTATATTTTCATGAAACTTTAATCTTCAAATTAATATAGCACAAGTGCTATTTAACGATACCCTTACGTCATTAGATACGCAACAATCTAATTCATTTACCGCAAGAATTTACGATAGTTAATACTCCGCGTAGCTAAACACGCGGCAAGTAGGTAATCGAGGAAAGGATGCTCGAGGGTGGCAGTATCGCCGCCCTTGTCGTAAATCCACGGGGGCAGCAAATGAGTTTAATTTTAGTTGTATTTCAATGAAAAGGGCAATTCTCCGGTGGCTGTGCATCCATCATGGAGAATAACGCGAGCCGGCCGGTGGGATTAGCATGGATATGACTGAATTATACAGAGACTATGCGCCAGACTGCGTGTACCATACGCCACTCTCTGCGTTCGTCCTCTCCTCTTCTCCGGTTGTCTTTCCAACTCTCGCGTTTCTGCCTCTCCTGAGAGCCGTCATTTCAAACTGCCTGTACATACGATGGTTAATATACCGGTAATGCGGCAAGCTTTGGGGCCATCCGAGGAGATACCGACGTCTGCTCGGACTCTACGTGATTGAATTAACCTAGGCTTCAATCTAAAGTAACTACATTCATTTAGAATAATTTCTGTACATCAAATTTTTCCTCAATTTTTCCTTGAAAATTAATTTATCTACCATGTTCATCTATTCTTCAGACTTCTGAAGAAACCCTCTACAAAATATTGCATTTGTTTCGTATATAACCGAATCCACCCTCAGAATCGTATCCTTATTTCTCATCGAGCGAAAGAAAGTATAGCACCCAGCGTCTCGTAGTTCCCTCCTACTCCAGAAATCTCATTGGTCCGTAAAGTTTTTTCGGCGCGCGAGAAAGCCCGTGCTAGTTCGAAAACTTCCCGTCGGGTTTCTCACCCCTCCGCGAGTTGGTTGGCCGGGTCAAGAGGATTCGACATTGGTGAATGGAAAGTCTCGGGGATGAAACGTTGGTGGTTGTAGCCGACTACCGAAAAGAAAGAGGCGAACATAGGGGAGGGAAGAAGGATAGGAGGAGAGAGGTACAGAGGGTGGCGGGCATCGGATAGGAGGGTGAGACGCTTTATCCCTTATCGTAAAGCGAGTTTAGACGTAGACGGGCTGAAGCCGGCTCTGTATTTCCCCGGAGCTCCGCAAAGTCCGTATAGGAAATCAAGTTAAATTTGTTGAGCCGATAAGGGCAGTAGGTAGAGGTTGCTAGAGTTCGACGGAGGGAGGTTTGCCTCATGGAGGAGACCAACGACGAGGCTGGCAACCGGGCTCGATAACGGCCGAAAGCTGTCTTTATGTACCAGCCACCTCCTCTGCGTAGGTGCTACCTACCCGCCTAACTTTGTGTGTTAACATTTCGACGGGGCTGTGTTTGTGGTAGCACCAGCTACGTGTGAAACGCCACAGGAAATCCCGATCAGCCGTGGAAAGCTCGATCTACGAACATCGATTGATTCCCTGTGAATTCTATCCCCTAGACTCTTGGCTGGAAAGCGATCGGATAGGGAGACGAACGACTTTACTCGTGGAAAGGCACCACGCTCTGGGAATTAGCTGTACGATCGTTGACGTGCCAACCTCGTTCCCTATATCGACTTCGATCGTAAAATCCAGTCGACGATGTACGATGAAACCTTGTTACCGGCCTGTTTAACATCGTCTGATACATTGATCATTTCCGATAATTACGGTGTTATTAGGTTGTTGCATATAAAGTCAGGTGAATTTAGTATAATGGAATTTAAAAGTTCTTCCTTCGAGAATTTTCAAATGTTTCTTTAGTACGTTCGAAAATTCAATGTAAATCCTGATTAATCGGGTGATTCGTTCAGCTGTATCGGCAGGTGTTTATCGCAGTTGATTACTATCGTTAATGAACGAGTTAATGACTCGGGAATAAATTGATAATTAGACACGTACACTGTTCCGGGGCTATTGATGTACATAATTTATCACGGAAAATTAGGCTGCTAATGGAATTGCCTGGTGTTACATTAGAATCATGAATTACATACTAGGGAAGCCCTGTGTTATATCGTAAACAATTTTGCAATTATCCTTTATGTGATTAAATTATTCGCATCAAAATGACGAGGTCCGTTTAACATGGCCGACGAAGATTTTCTCGGCAATAAAACAATTCGTTTTCATAATAATATATTTTGTTGCTTCGGGAACATTTTTGAATAAAGAATAAAGAAGAAATGATTCCATTTGTTGTCTTCAATTGCATAGAACGATCAAGTTAACCGCAACGGGACGGAAGTAGTAAATCGACGTGATCCAGCGGATGCGACGTAGTTCGCTCACGGAGTGGCCTACTTTGCTGAACCACAGTTGAAAATTATCATCGTCCGGGAATACTTGTAGCCGGTTAATTAAAAAGCGTGGTGCACGGACCACCGTCGGCCGTTGTCATTGAAATGTTGCCAAAAATTTTATTTCCGCCCAGGTCGTCGGCCGCGCTTCCGTCGTGCAAGCATTGGGAACCGTAACCGGTGCAACGTCCACTCTACTCCCGAGTTTTCGAATTTTGCATTGAAACGCAATTACACCGTCGCGTAAAATATCTGCATTTCAATGCCGTTACACTGGACCGTTGCTCTCCCTCGGAAATTCTACTATGTTCCGTTTCACGAACGTTTCGTTGCGAAATTTTCCGACGTTTCCTTGTAAATACCTGTTTTATTGACGGTAAACTTCTTGGTTAAACATCAAATTGCTGCTGTAACCGAGCTTTACTACGCGTCGAATCACGCGAATGTAGGGAATCCAGTATGGTTTT